GTCGGTAGCCTAGTGGTTAAGTTACCGGACTCGTAATCGTGAGATTGTCGGTAGCCTAGTGGTTAAGTTACCGGACTCGTCATCGTGAGATTGTCGGTAGCCTAGTGGTTAAGTTACCGGACTCGTAATCGTGAGATTGTCGGTAGCCTAGTGGTTAAGTTACCGGACTCGTAATCGTGAGATTGGGGGTTCAGGGGGTAAAACACGTGACACGATGATGCACGTCGTAGGCACGTGATACAAGGATGCACCATTCATAGAATCCGATGTCGGTGCGTTTTAGGCACGAGATACTACAGTGCGCCAATTCACAGGCGTCTAGGCCCTAAGCCTAAAAAAAAATAATAATAAAGTAGGTGATTTTCCGTCCCTATCGACACAACGTAAGATGGTACTTTTTCGTTTTGGTAGTTTTGGTAGGAGCTTTACGGCACTTGCAACACAATACGTTCATAATATAAGTGCCGAAGATTAGAGGCGTTAACAAGAGAGTAACAAACACAACAAAAAGAAGGAGGGGAGATAGAGACGATAGATTTTTTAATAGGAAAGAAGGAGCGCAACCACACCAGAGCACCCACCAACCACCCACTAAGATGGTGCCAAAAAGTCCCGAAAATATTTCACGCCAAAACTGCTGACGATGTACGAGCGCCTGATTCCGCCATGTCGTGACACAATAACTAGATCTATAGCCGTGTCGTGGGAATGGGAATTCTGTGATAGACAAATAACTACGAGCGCGGTTTCCTGCGGTGCAAAGTGGTGCATAGTGGTGCAGTATTGATGAGGGCCTGGGGTTTTTAGTTTTACGAAGAATTTTACAGCACTTGCAATGAAGCAAATAGATCTTGGTCGTATTTGAGCCGAAGATTAGAGGTGCTACTATTAGAGACTAGCATACAAAAAGAAGAAGGACGAGAGACAAGGACGATAGATGGTTGATAGGAAAGAAGGAGGAGGGATAAGAACGATAGACGGTTGTTAGGAAAGAAGGAGGAGGGATAAGAACGACAGACGGTTGTTAGGAAAGAAGGAGGAGGGATAAGAACGATAGGCGATTGAAAGAAAAGAAGGAGGAGAGATAAGAATGATAGATGGTTGTTAGGAAAGAAGGAGGAGAGACAAGGACGATAGGCGATTAAAAGGAAAGAAGGAGGAGAGATAAGGGCGAT